TATATATATATATATATATATATATGGAGAAAAACATGGGGGTGGGAAGGGGGAAGAGGCCCCTCGTGGTTTTGCGGAGTTAAATGGAAAGCCTTTAAGTAAAAGCATATTTATTTGTTTAAGTTGAAAGAGTAGCGGATTTTTCAGCCTTTGGTCTCTCTTAAACATGACTGTCTAATGACTTTAACTTATAACTTTATCTGGAAACAATGAAAATAAACAAAATGTTTTAAATTGGACGCCAATTCTAAACATGCCATAAGTTACTACCGTATATATGGCAGTAAAAAAATTTGGTTCACGGCCTAAATAAAATTATACATTTCATGGACGCACACGCCCAACTATTTTCATTTTACTCGACTGAACTCATCCCGTTGTTCTGTTTATTCCCCCCCCCCCAAACGGCCAAAATAATAATAATAATAGACGTTTGTATTTACTGCTGTAATTAAGAATACGCAAAGTACGGTAGATTCAACTTCATTTAAAAATAATTAAAGGAACATGAGTGTGTCTCCCACTGTCCATGGAGGAAATGGCCCCCATCTGCCCCTAAACATGATAGCTCAAGGAAAACATCTACATTCCTCTTTAAAGTTAAGTTCTTACTACGGCCCCCATCTTTAAGTTTTTATGCACACGCGCACACACACACATATATATTTATATTGAATTGGAAGGGAATGTGAAACGTTTGACTCATAGTGATATATTTTTCTATAAGAATAATTTTTTTTTAAAAATCTATGTCAATAATAATAGTAGATTAATTTGAATAATTATTGCTGATGAATTGATTTCGCCAGTCTGCATGAAAGTTATTGCAACCCGTATAAGTATAAAGTAAATGAACATTATTATACTGTATGAAGTAGATGGAAGTTACGTTGATGATTGTCAGTTGTGTGAGGATTGTCATGGCAGTTGTTTTTTTTTTATTTTTATGATCGTCATCGCACAGTTTTTTTAATGAATGAGATTGTCATGGTCCCGTTGTGTAATTGTAATGATAGTCGTCGCCCACTTGTGTGAGATAGTGATTTTCACATAAAAACCTCTTAATTAAAAGGGCCGAAAAAGCCACCCTCAATCTATAGGGGGGGGGGGAAGTTCCTCTCGAAGAGGACTTACCCCCACCCCCCGCCCACCCTTCCCACACCCGGGCAACAACCCCCCCCCCCCCCCCACCACCCCCCCTCCCACGTGTGTGAGATAGGTATTTTCACAAAAAAACCTCTTAATTAAAAGGGCCGAAAAAGCCACCCTCAATCTATAGGGGGGGGGGGAAGTTCCTCTCGAAGAGGACTTACCCCCACCCCCTGCCCACCTTTCCTACACCAGGGCACATACCCCCCCCCCTCCGCCACCAACCCCCAAACGCCACTTATTTTATCCCGCACCCATTTTCTAATCTTATCTTTAACCTAAACTAAAGATTAACCAAATGGTTTTGTGTCCTCTATTATTAGAAGAATAAAAACACGCCAAACAGTATAAAAATGTTTAGTTTAAGTGTAAGACTATTTAGTGTAAGACTGAGTGTTTATCAAAGACAAGATGTTAAGTATGTTTTCTGAAATTATTCACAGGGGGGGCAAAGTTCTCAAAGGAACTGAATTATTATTTTTTTTTTATTTTTTTTTTGACAAACTACAATTTAAATTGAAAAAATGCTGGACTTGCCTTGCGGTGTCGTGTCCCTTACACTATCCAAGAAATAAACAACAACAACAACACATATAGGTGTCGCCGTGTCCAATTGGGCCTTTCAAATAAAACACAATTATGCTGATGACAGGGAAGGCTGCTTCCTGTGACTAATGGTGAGAGACAAGCGAGATGTCATGTAATGAATGACTCACCGGCAGTACACAAAGATAAAACAGCTTACCCCTAGGGCTAGGGCCAAGGTGTCGTGTAGAGAGTCACCGGACGATTGGCGGTATCATTGATCGCACGGCGTGCCTGGTGATTCCCCTCCCCCTTCCCTCCCTTAGTCACTGGGTTTGTTTTTTTTCTTCTGTTTTTTTTTTCCAACTCAAGAAGTATTTAACGTGTTTTATTTTAGTTTTAACCTACTTATTCATGGCTTTCCTAGTAATAGTAATCCTAGTAGTAGTTCCACGACGCATTCGCGCATTTACGATATTACTGCATTATAGATGTAATTAATTTTTTTTTTTTTAAAGAAAGAAAGAACATTTTGAAGATGACTTTTACTTTTAATTATCACCGCATAACAGTGGTGTTGATTTATCATCGAATTCCTTGCAATAAAATGTGTTTTGAAAACCTCTTGTTCTTTACTGCAGTGTTTCTCAAACGGTGGTCTGCACAAGGTGAAGAATTATGGTCGAATAAAAAGAAAATGTAATTGATCAATCTGGCACCGGTTCCTGGTGCCATTT